TTAAACTTTTTATTTTAAAAAATCCTTAGGAATTTATTACATTTGAAAATCTATTTTATTTTATTTTTTTATATTTCACAATATTACAGTTTTTACTGCATTTTGATCAATTAAATGCAGCCTTGCTGAACATAAAAGTCACTAGTGTACATTCCTTTAAAAATGCATTAACATGTGACTCACTTCTACAGCTCCAGGTATGGGGTGGCTGCGGAACAATGACATCAGTGTAGCAGCTCATGGTGTTAACAGAATCAGCCAGAGACTCGCCCTTCTGCGTGGAGGACGTGGACTCGCTGAAATGCACCACCGACCCTCCCAGACGGTGCATGGCTGCTGAGAACGAACTGCTGGTGCGAGTGCTCACCTCGTAGAACATGGAGGCCATGACTTTACCCTGGGAGAAGATGAGCAGAATGGAATAAAGAGTTTATAAGAACTTGTTATTTCATCTGTGTTCAAGACACCAAGAGTTTCTGTTTCCAAGGGCCACAGATGCCCATTCGACTTCAAGAGATCAACTTCAAACTGACACGTCACAGCCAGATTGAACAACATCCTGACTCCAGACTGCTGCTGACTTGAGCAGTTAAATACACCTGCTGGGGGAGGTTTATGTAATGAATGAATTCAGTGACATCTACTCTGTTATGGGACAGAATGACTCTCAGTAATCCAAGCTAATGTGGTCTACAGGTTGAATCAAGTTCCAATCTGCTTATTCCACACTTCCAAATAAGAATTTTGGATGCTGAATTCCGTTAACAAGTCTTTTAGTGTGAGACTCACCATCTACCTTCAGGCAAATAACTTATCCTATCTCTATATATACACTTCTGTTCAAAAGCTTAATTGGGGTCTGTAAGAATTTTTTTTAATCTTTTTTTTATTAATGCTCACAAAGGCTGCATCTATTACATCAAAATACAGTAAAAACAGTAATATTTTGAAATATTAGAATTTCAAATACATTTAATGTATTTTAAAATGTAATTTATTCCTGTGACGCAAAGCTGAACTTTCAGCAGCCATGATTTGCTGTTCAAAAAACAGTTATTATTCTTCAATGCTGTCTATCTAAAAATAGTAATATCTTACTAACCCCAAACCTTTGAACGGTACTTAATTTAAAAACAATACTACCTTTTGCTAACATTTTAAAGTATCTTATGACAGAACTCTGTGTGAATGTAATAATCTTTAACTACACATTGTTCCAGTACATGGATAAGCATTCAGTAATTACATTGGCGCTTAAGTCTCATGGGCCATTTGTTCTCACAGTAAGAGTTTTCGATTACAGAACGTATTGACTTGTGATTCAATAAGACAAGAACCACTCTGACTGATTCAGTCAGCGAGAGTCATTAGACTGATTCAAACTAATAATTCATGAATTAAAGTCTATGTAAAGCAATATTAAATATGTGTTCTGAGTTTGTCACGCCACAGAAAATGTGTTTTTAACCACCCAGCCAAATTTGAATGATAAAAAAGTCGAGTAAATAAAATAAGGCATCAAAATTAAAAAATTAAGCAGAATACTACTTAATTTTTCAATTTTGATGTCTGTCAGCACTGAAACCACGCCCATTAGAGGGAAAGCTGGCCCACCAGCGGGTGCAGCAGTGGGGAGGTCTGGGGGTGGGGCAGGATCTGCATGCTGCCCAGCTTGAGGTGACAGGATCCTGGCCAGGGGAGGAGGGTGTGTATATGTATCCACTGCGGGAGCCAATTCTGATAATGGAAGCAGAACAACGTCACAATCAGCAACCAATACATCACTGCCATGTATCAGTAAATCTCACTTTACGGCAATAAACCGGACACCGGCATAAGAGCTCATTGAGATCAACCTGAATCACAAGGAACAGCATGCAAGCAAAACATGGGCAACACAGGAAAACAGACCATCATGTCTTGTTTTGATTATGCTTGTGTAAAGACTAAAATATGCCCATGAAATGAATCCAGGAAAAAAACACAGATTGGCAGAAAGAACAGAAGCTAAGGGTGGCAAAGCTCTGGTAAACATCACTACAAACGTCAAACCTGCATCATACAGTGCTCTTAATGACACCTCCTCTTCAGCTGCTCAAACATCGAGGCACGAAGTTTGAAAAAAATTTGATTAGTAACTGTACAGTTATAATTTTCACAAATTTTTTAGAAATGTTTATTATAATTGCTGATGCAGTTTTTGTGAAATGCTTAGTTTTCCAAAAAAGGGTTTGAAAGTTGGCTGCCTGAAAAATTAGACTTTGATATCGATTTGAAGAAACTATACACATCACATGGACTTTACCCATTGCCTTTTGGGGTTGTATGGTAGATCTTTTGAAACCTGCATATAAAGACATGTCTTGCTTGATATATGAGCATATTGGACCAGCAAATGGTTCAGCTGAACCATTTGCAAGTTCATGGGACATGCAAGCTCAAACAAACAAACAAACAAACAAACGAACAGAGGTGGACAAAGTACTCAACTCCATTACTTGAGTGAAAGTACAGATACTGCTGATCAAATATTACTCCATTACAAGTAAAAGTTGTAAAGACAGATTTTTACTTAAGTAAAAGTACAGAAGTACTTGCTTTTAAAAGTACTTAAGTACCAAAAGTAAATTTCCTTTTTTATGTCAATGCACTGTTTTATTGTTGTACGTAATACTTGCAATACTTCTGAAACAACTTAGAATACATTACACCTGCTGAATACACTGACTAGCTTGTAGTATATTTGGAATAAAGAGCTTTTAGAATGTTAAAAACCTACGGGGAAAACAAATGTAACACCCCTACCCACCCCCACAAAAGCAGGATGGTAGTGATCTCACACAGCTCTGGACACATCTATGTGTAGCCATTCATCCACATTTGAACAGAGTGGACAGTGAAATCCTGTAAATACAGAGTGATAAGGAAGAAAATAAAAAATCATACCTGCTTTAAAACCCAGCAACACAACTGTAGCTGTATAACTTTACAACAGCAAGACTTATTTGCCATCAAAACAAAAATTTAAAAAAATGCTGTCTAATCGCTCTCGTTGTACTTTGATGTCACACACAGAACAGTCTGTGCAGTGCTGCTTCAAGTCCAACACCTATTGTGTTTTATTAGGAGATGCACAACAGTTCTTCTGTGGCTTTATAGGTAATATTTTCACTTACACAATTTAGCAAAATCAGACAATATTGTGTCTAATATATACCACAATATTAACTTCTTATTATTTAATTGTTGTAAATAAATATCACATTTGCAACTGGTCAGTGTTCAAAAAATGTTGGGAAATACATAAACTTCATGTAGCCCTACAAGAGTGATTACTGATAAACTGTCTGAAAAAAAAGAGTCACGTTTTAGAGAAGAAACAAAGCACCCACTGACTTTCAAAACTGCTACATAGTAACGACTTTCTACTTCAAGGACCTTGATAGAAATGTAGTGGAGTGAAAAGTACAATATTTGTCTTTCAAATGTATGGAAGTTACAGTTATAAATCCCCAGAAAAAAATAATACTCAAGTAAAGTACAGATACTCAAAAAGTGTTCTTAAGTACAATACTCAAGTAAATGTACTTAGTTACTGTCCGCCTCTGCAAACGAACAACTGATGCTAGCAAACAAAAGCTGACATCAAACTGAACTACTGTCTGAATGTAACTGTAAACCAATTATTTGCCGTACAGAGGTTCATTTGGCACACAAACTCATGCACAAGCTGAGGGAATACACTGTATGCCATTAGCACCTGGAGGCAGAATTCGGCACAACACCGGGATCGGATGCACGGTGGATACGAGGCGGGAGAATGAAGCGCCCATCCCCAGTTGAACGGAGTGGGCTCGGGGCACGGCTACGGACCACATCAACAGCTGCTGCCTGACGGAGACGCTCAGCAGTCATTGCCTCACTCACACGCTGTAATTAACAAGCATGGTTATTTGTAACAAATAATTTGTTTCTCATTACACTACAGAGGACAAACGGGTTGGTGAGTGGATGGATGTGTTTTTTGTCAGCCAGTGCACATTAGAAAGCAAATGCTAAACCATGAACAATGCATGGTAGATAAATCTATACATAAGATTTCGTAACAGTGCTTTAAAAGTGATTACTCTTGCACTCACAAACATTTCACTTGCACTATGCCATCTAGGTCTCTTTAGTAAAATTCTCATTGCATCATTATAATAAGCTACTTGCAGCTCCTGTAAACTAGATGTTCTATAGTTGAACCACAGATGAGCAGTATAAGGTGTTGTACAATATGCTTTAAAAAGTGACACCTTCACCTCATCTGAACAGAAACTAAACTTACGTAAAAGTATATTCGCCTGCATATACATCATACGGCGTTGCCTTTCAATATCCTCATCGTCTGTCATGCGTTCAGTCAGTTCATGCATTACCTTAGGAGCATCCTTTATCACCTCAGTTGTTCCTGCCAGGGCTGCTACCCATGACTTCACATCCTGACCATATCCTGGAGGTACCAATACCTTATTAAACATAGAAATTAATGCTAAGCATTAAAAAAAAGGTTGGGGTAAGATTTTTTGGGGGGCTGGGTCAGCAAGGATGCATTACATTTTTCAAGTGACGGAACTTTCCAATTTAGATTTCAAATAAATGTTCTATTCAAAGAATTTTTAGCATAGTTTCCACAAACTCTGTTGGTTCTGATTTTAAATACTCCTCTATTAAGCACATGCCACAGGAAGGGGATGTAGCTCAGTGGTAGAGCGCATGCTTTGCATGTATGAGGCCCCGGGTTCAATCCCCGGCATCTCCAGAAATGTTTTTCTTTTATTTATCGCAATATATCATTAGACACTGTCATCATACAGTATTTTTTTTTTTATAAAAAAAAAAACATTTTTGAAAAAAGAACGGTATTCATAGATAATCATTCTTTGTTCAAACACGTCTCGTGTCGTTCTACGTATCCACGTCATACGTTCCTTCCGTGGCGACGGTAACCAGGGAGAAAGCTATGTTTACTCAAATGTCTGCAGCCTGACAACATGGCTATATCAAGAAATACGTCCGTATAAGTTAACTCCGCCGAATCTGTTATAAAAGTGAAGCATGCAGCTAAAGTATCTGAAGACTCTTCTGACTCCTCAGGTAAATATATTTACCACGTTATTATTTAGCGACGCTAACGTTAGCTAACTAACGTTAGCTCTTTGCAGTCCGCTATATGTAACTTAGGCATGATAACGCTTCTTAGCTTAGCAACACTAGGATGCTTATGTATCCTGCCAGATTTCGGCTTATGCCTTTACGTTGTGCAAAGAAACAGTAGAAATCACATTCCGAATGTTATTTAAATCTCAGTAAGCGACTCTGCATTGAACACGGTGTTGTCTGTATCTGTAATGTCTTTTCTTTAGGATGGAGCTGCGAAAGTCACCTGTATGGCTTGGGCTCCTAACAATACAAAGTTTGCAGTGTGCACTATTGATAGAGTGGTTATATTGTATGATGAGCAGGGAGAGAAAAAAGACAGATTTACTACAAAGCCTGCAGACCCCAAAGTAAGTTATCAGTAAATTATTGAATTATTGAACTGAATATTAAATATTCAAAATATATGTTGTATTCTGCCAATGCTAAATGTAATTTCTTAGTACGTCAGGAAAAGATATTCCAGTATGAAGCTATGACTTTGTCATTTGTTGCAGTATGGAAAGAAAACCTATGTGGTCAAGTCCATGGCATTTTCTCCTGATTCAACCAAGATAGCAGTGGCTCAAACAGACAACATCATATATGTTTACAAAATTGGAGAGGAGTGGTAAGTACTTCAGAACGCTACTAGTAATTCTGGCTTAATTAATGAATTAAGGCTGAGTCTTCAGCTTTTTCAAATATCAAAATCTGCTGTGATCCATAAAACATAGGCTTCTATAAAGGACTGGGATAAATGTATTAGTGCATAAAATAAACTATATTTTATATAGTGTGTGTTAAGTGTTGATTTTTGTGTAATATGCATCCATATGCATGTACTGTATGATATTTTGCATATAACAAAATAAATGTGTACAATTTAGAACTGAATAAAAAGTTTATCATATTTAACATACTGCTAGTTGTATTTTGAGGTGAAAAGCTAAGCGATACATAACCAAAATTGTATTATTTTACATTTCTAATGATGTTTTCTGTACCAGGGGAGATAAAAAGGTTATTTGCAACAAATTCATTCAAACAGTAAGTATTTTTATGATAAATAAAATGCATCATTAGGCAGCATTGCCATATATTTTGTGCATTAACAGTTTTTATTCTCTAGAGTGCTGTAACATGTCTGGTTTGGACATCAGAGCATGCAATAATATTTGGACTAGCAGAGGGAAAAGTAAGTATGCTTTGCACCTTAAGCTGAATTTCCTATTTTGTAAATATTCATTTTTTTGTTTTTATGTCAAATGCAGGTTCGTCAAGCCAATACAAAAACAAGCAAGTCCTCCACAATTTATGGAACAGACTCTTACGTTGTCTCACTAACGACAAAGTATGTATTTAAAATCCTGACCCTATGATTCTTGCTTCTTTGTCCAAGCACCCTTTTCTGGTTTGCTTACTGTGTTATTTTAGCATTATTTATATACTATTACAGGATTTATTCATATTGTAAATTCGATTTTATTTTAATATATTTTTTTAAATTTTAGTTTAAAGTTTAGTAATTGTATTATATGCTTTTATCATTTTTATTTTTACTTTTTTAGATTTCTACATTACATTTGTATTATTTTTATATTTTTTATATAACTTTAATTTATTTTTATTTAAGTTTTAGTCATTTCAGCATAAGACTGTTTATCTCCCTTGGTCCACTTTCCCAGTGTCTCAGGGAAGGGAATCCTCTCGGGCCATGCAGATGGAACGGTTGTTCGCTACTTCGTTGATGATGAAGGATCTGGGGAATCTCAGGTAAAGAGCTGCTTTATTATATTTAATTGTATTTATACCATAAAATATAATTCACATTTTATATCTTCACATGCTTAAAAGACTGATTATTTAATATATATTTGCTCTGATTGTTGAAAGGGCAAACTGTTGACTCATGCATGCCCACCGTACGCCCTGGCATGGGGCACCAACAGCATAATTGTGGCGGGATGCGATAAGAAGATTGTGGCCTATGGAAAGGAGGGCCACGTGCTTCAGACATTTGACTACAGCAGAGATCGCTCCGAAAAGGAATTCACAGTGGCAGCATGTAGCCCCAGTGGCCAGTCCATAGTCGTAGGAAGCTATGACAGGTGAGAGAGTTGTTTCAACACACTAAATAGAAAACAAAAATGTTTTGCCAGTGTCATGATATATATCTTATGCTAAATTGTTTTTCGTTAGGTTGCGAGTTTTCAATTGGAGTCCTCGAAAAGGCGTCTGGGATGAAGCTTCTCCCAAAGAGATTCCAAACCTGTACACCATCACAGCTCTGTCCTGGAAGAAAGACGGCTCTCGGCTTTCTGTGGTCAGTCTGGTTGGCCAATTTTAGAAAGATTTCAGAACTTCAGAGATTTTCAGAATACCTTAATTCTGTTCATATACTGAAACTTGTGCACACCAATCCTGCAAATATACTGAATCCCGCATATACAGTTCTGTCTCCAAGATGGTTATAATTTGGTAAGAAATGAGCGGGATAACAAAAACAAAAGAAACAGTGGCTTAATGATGTTGAGGTGCTGCTTTGCCACTTGGGACAGTTGAGGGGCTGTGGAGATGATGTGTAAATACATCTCTAAATTGCAGGGCACACTGTGTGGAGGAGTCGAGTTGTTTGACTGCTGTCTTCGGAGGAGTATTTACAAGAACAAATTTGAGATGACATACGTAGGACTAAGTCAAGTGAGCAATACTTGTAGATATTTAAAATGCACATTTCCGTTCATTTCAGTAGTGACTCTTATTTTTAATCTTGTTTACAGCCTACAAACTGGATGTTCTGAAACTTTGTTTCTTAAACCCTCTCAGGTTATTGTGAAGAATTTGTCCACTGGCACACGAGTAGTGCTGAAATCTCAGTATGGTTATGAGATAGATGAGGTGAAAGTCATGGGGAAGGATCGATATCTTGTGGCTCACACCTCTGACACACTGCTGCTGGGTGACCTGGTGTTCAACAAACTAAGTGAGGTAGGATGTCTAGTTTGAACTTGTTTGATTATTTACAGTTGCTTTATTTCTTCGATATAGTTCTGTTAGAACATTTTTTTTACATTCAGTCTGTATTAAAGTCTCTGTTTAGATGAAACAATCTATATTTAATGTTTCTGGACCAGTTTTCTCATATTGTAACAGAGTCAATGCCTCCATCGGGTGGACCAAGGTTTAAAATGTCTAATTAAAAGTTCAAGGGCTGTCATGGTTCACTGTGTTAATCCATGTTTAATTGAGTTTCCAAAGTGCTCTTATGGGAGTTAGAAGAAAGTTCAGTGTAACAAACAGGATAATGGTGAAGGGCCTTGGCTGCGGTGTCTCTCTGCCTCTGCTTCTTTCTGTGTAATGTAGTGGAAAGCAAAAGTTGATGACTGTGTTGTACTTCAATAAACAACATCACTCTCCCATTACAGGTGGCGTGGCAGGGGTCCGGGGGAAATGAAAAGTTTTTCTTTGAAAATGAAACGGTACATTGTTCTTTTATTGTATTATTGTGTGTTATTAAGATGCCTCAGTCGTTTATGAGAATGGTGCAAAGGGAAAACGACTGGGTTTAATGAATCATGCAGCCCTAGCTGATATAATTAAAGTCCTTGCTGTCTAATTGTAAATTGCTATATTTCTGGGTAGGTGTGCATGATTTTCAATGCTGGAGAGCTGGCGCTGGTGGAATATGGAAGCAATGAAATCCTGGGATCTGTTCGGACGGAGTTTATGAACCCACACCTTATCAGGTCTGCTATTTTGGAAACACTTTGGAACGCAAGAGCCAAGATAAAAGCAAAATGATTTACTTTTTTACTACTTTTGTTTTTTATAATCCTTCTAAAACCTTCTTTGCCTTGTAATGACTTTTCCTATATAATGTTATAAATTATATGTTGGAAAAGGAATTACTCAAGCATGGATGTTCCAAAACTTCAAACAAGCAAGAAATTCTATAATATTAAATATTATACAAAATAAATTGTAATATAATAATGTATATAGGATTTAGAATTTGATATATTTAATTTACTAATAATTACATTTAATAATCATTTACAAATATAGATACAATTAGGGCACGTCCTGTTTTTATATGTTGCAACACTTAATGCATCACATAATTTTATAGTGAACAATATTTTTGTACAGATAACAGGCAAAGGTACATTACCCACAAAAGTCATGTCTAAAACTGACCGCTAGATGGCGTAATTAACATTCGATTTCATATTAGCCCTGGTACTGTCATTCTGCTCTGAAAACTTCTGTTGCTGTTGATACATACAGCTGGCTCTTAGTGAGCAGACCTAGTCATCACAAATCAGCATTCATGTATAAAGCCTGTCAGGTGCTGTCAGAATGCAGTGCTTGGTTCCTCTTGATGGAGCACTGACAGGTCCCTCAGCACCCACAGGAAGTGTTTATTCCTCGGTTTGTGTGTTTGTGTTTGCAGTGTGCGTCTGAATGAGAGAAGGCAGAGGGGAGTGGAGGACAACAAAAAGTTGGCTTACCTCATTGACATCAAAACTATTGCCATTGGTAAGTTATTGCCCAGTGCTTCCAACAGGGATATGATTTCTTAATTATTTACCAAAATGAAATAATTATAATACAGAATACAGTCAAATAACTTTAGAATGTTTTAAGATTTTGAGTGACCAAATTGTATCCAATTCAAATGTATTTTTATTGTGCTTTTCAGGTGGTAATTAGGGATGACATCATTTTATTTTATAGCTAATCACGTCTTCCTGCTCTGATAGCTCAGTTTTGCATGTCCCATGTGATTTAAGATTAATTTAGACATTTAGTCTATTGAGCGAATGCAAAAATGTGAATTATAGTCACAGTAGCTCATAAAAGGAATCTCAGTCTGTTGTCATCAACAGCTTAATGAAACAACGTCATCGGTGGAATTAATTACATAATTGTCTGTTTCCGCTCTAAATGGGACACCTTCTCCATATGACCCGTTATTTGATTCCACAGAGAGAGGATCATTTGAGGGACAGTAGAAAGGTGTGTTGACGTTGAGTAGGTTCAGATGTTACCTTTCAATTAGATGGCGACCCTGCTGTGTCATCGTCATGGCCCTCTCCTTCACCGGCTACCGCCAGCCATCTGCCACGGTTCTGACCACTTCCTGTGTTAATTAAGTCCTGGCATGCTCCCTCTGTCCTGCTTGCCTTGTTTCTTCTTCAGGTGGTGAAAATGAGAAACAACTTTCATCCAATTTATTTTCCTCTGACAGACAGCAGAGTGCTTTTCCCCCTTACTGATCCATGTGCTTAAAACCTGTTCAGAAAGTGCAAATTGGAAAGTGTTTTTCCTCTCCTTCTGCCCCCCTTGCCCTCCTCCATAAGTGATGCTTCCCATCAGAATGGTTATTTGTGAACAAAGAGCCAGAAAAGCAGGGAAATGTCACAGAACGTGATTCATGAAAGACTCATTGATTTGTTTTTGTTGGGGCACGGATGTTCGGGGGCTATATGAACAGCAGTGCCTCCGTTTTTGCTGCATGTCTTTGTGTGCAAGTGTGTACGGTGACGTTCATGGCAGCCATCTCCAAATTTTTATCATTCTGTTATAGAATTATTTTTTGGATGGAAAATACTTCATCTGTTCTTTAAAAAACATTGTCTAAAAGCCTCATACTGTTTAAAAGTTTGAACTAGAATGCTTCATTTCTGGCCTTGGATCAACAGAAAAGAATCTGCATCTGGTATTTGGTGCATTCATCTCCCATAATCCTTTTCTCTTCCTGTTTTTCTCAGTGGACCTGGTGGGTGGGTATAATCTGGGCACTATAAGCCATGACTCCAAGATAGACTGGCTGGAGCTGAATGAAACGGGGCGTAAACTGCTTTTTAGGGACAAGAAACTCAGGGTAAGGGTCGAACGTCGTTATTTAAGCTCTAATATCACTAATAAAATCAGAATGACTTGTCACTTCTGTCTCTTTCTCCACATTCAGCTCCACCTGTATGACATTGCGAGTAGCATGAAGAACACCATGCTGAGTTTCTGTCCTTATGTTCAGTGGGTACCGGGTAGTGATGTAGTTGTGGCCCAGAACAGAGGAAACCTGTGCGTTTGGTACACCATCGACAGCCCGGAGAGGGTCACAATGTTTCCCCTCAAGGTGAGCTGAAGTTAATAGTGATTTTATTTACGTGGCTTGTCTATGTTGTTTAAGCACCTGATTTACTAAAATAACTATTCAAATTGGTTAAATATGCAAACATTTGCAAAGAATCGCACTACCACTGTGATCCAGACAACTAAGCTGTTTAAAATGAAGAAAATGTCTTGCTATACACAGCCGTTCAAAAGTTTTAGGTTGGTAAGATTTTTTTTTATGTTTTTGAAAGAAGTCTCATCCATGTTCACCCTATTTGCTCCTTATTGTTTCAGTTTCTTGTTTGAGTCCAGTGTGTTTAATCATTGCGACAGGGCGACATTGTAGATCTGGAGAGATCCAATGGCAAAACTGAAGTCATTGTGACTGAAGGGGTTAACTCTGTCTCCTACACTCTGGATGAAGGGCTGATTGAATTTGGCACAGCCATTGATGATGGTGACTATTACAGGTAAAAAAAAACCCACCACAGCCACCTGCAATAAACATGGATTAGACCTCAATTATGCTTAGTTTTGTAAACTTGTGCTGCTTAAAATGGCATAATTCACCCAAAAATGAAAATGTTGTCATTCTCATGGAACATAAGAAGATAATTTGAGAAATTAGTTTTTTTTTTTTTTGCTCATACAATAAAAGTCAGTGGCAACCAGAACAATTTGGTTACCAACATTTATGTTCTGCAAAACAAAGAAAGTCATGCAGGGTTGAAACGACATGATGTTGAAGCATGATGAGGGTGAGTAAATTATGTAAGTATCCTTATTTATAGCTGGACTTGTGTGTATGTGTGTGTGCGCAGAGCTACAGCATTCCTAGAGACCCTGGAGATGTCGGCAGAGACAGAGGCCATGTGGAAAACTCTGAGCAAACTCTCCCTAGAGGCACAACAGCTCCACATTGCTGAGAGGTTAGACAAGCAAGACAGTCCACCCACCTCTATGACTCAGCTACTGCTGCGATGACTTCAGCATAGCTATCCAGATCAAGTGTCTAACCTTGACAACTAGGAACCAGTATAACTGAATTGAAAAAATCTTGTAGTTTCTTTGAATTCCTTTACAAATCATCTCAGCATAATTTTTTTTATTTAACTTCCTCTATTGAACTTTACAAAGGGCCGTCGTCCTAAGCTACAAGTGGGACAATTTTAAAGTTGCAAAAGTGACATAGGGTCATCTCATTCAATATTTGGATACTTGCAATTATAGGCAACAAATTTCTTACATGGCATTAAATGTGTTAAAGAAGCAGCATAGTACGCAGCAAAGATTTGCAGTGCAGTTGATTATGATATTTGAAGTGCTAAATTCAAATAAATTAAACATTAAATAAATAATTTCATTTTTGTTGGGCCACCTTAACAAACCCATGGAAGAATGTTCTGTGTATTGTTTACCAACACTCAAAGACAGCACAGATACTGGCAGATGTGTGCAAATAAACATTTACTTACAGCCCTTGTACTGGCAATAGAAAAACACCTTTCACATGATTGCATAAACACAATAATCTTACTGTCTTTCTTAATGATTCTTTCAATCTATTAATAGCATTGCTGCATTTATTTTTGCGCCTTTTATTTATTTTTTTTAATTTGCTCTTAATATGTATCTAATTGGCACTACAGAAGAACTAAACAATTAAATATAAACACATAGAATCAGCAAAGTAACAATATATTCTTAAAGGGGTCATATTATAAATATGTAATATTCCTTGATCCTTTGAAATGAAAGTATTTACTATAGGCACACTGTCCTCAAAATATCTTGCCCAAGAAGTTCAAAAAGAATTGACTGATATAATTGATATATTAACACATGACAACCTATATGTAAATGTCACCAATGTGTCAAAAGGTAATTCTGGCTGTTTTTGGGGCAGTTAAAAACCATATTTGACATATTTGACTCTTTTCACAGGTGAAAATGCCATTTCCATAGAAATCTTAAAGGAATAGTTCACCCAAAAATGAAAATTTACTCACCCTCAGGCCATTCAAGGTGTAGACAAGTTTGTTAATTGAGAAGAGATTTGGAAAAATTTAGCATTATATCACTTGCTCACCAATGGATCCTCTGCAGTGATTGGATGCTGTCAGAGAAAGGGTGGTCACATAAAACTGTTTTTGCATATAAAAAAAATATATATATATATATATAAACTGAATTGCACTATAAATTGACCTCAGGGAATAAAATAAAAAATGTATGATGCTTTAATATATTCTGAATTGTTCTGTAGGCAAAGACCCCAAAACTGTCTTAAAGACAGCAGTATTTCCACTTAAGGAAATAATTACATTTTGCATATAGCAGTGAATGTTTAATGCATGTTAGAAGCATTAGTCAAAAGAACCTTAAAGAAAGCTACTATTCTGGACAGCTGCTCTATGTGTTACATTTTAAATGCAGAAATGTGTCTCAGATAATTTTCTGCCTAAAGAAAAATGTGTGTAATCTGGTGCAAAACCCCTTCACCTGAGGGAGGATAAACGCTTTAGCACTAAGCACCAAAGGTCCTCTTAAAAAGGCATCCAGTCGCTTTAGGAGGCAGTGAGAATGTTTAGAGTTTTCCTTTTACTGTATAAGCATTTTTAAGAGGGTTTGAAGCTGGAATTTAAAATAGAGGGGCTTTAATAATGCAGGATTGGTATGTTATATATAGGCTTATCTGCATAAAGCATTCAGATAAAAAGTGGTCTGACCGTGAATGAGAATGCAAATGAAAGAATTGACTGGATACTCTTCCTGCTGCCCCTTTGCTTGTTGTCACTTTTAGACATGTTAGACATTTTTAGAAATGTTTTAGACATTTTAGACATGGCTGATGGTTGGGTTTTTCCGCAGGTGTTTTGCAGCCCTTGGGGATGTGTCCAAAGCCAGATTTCTAAATGAGACCAACAAAATTGCAGATGCAGTCTCAAAGGAATATGTATGTAGTGCACACGATTTTTTTGAAGGACAGACAGGTTCTGTAGCATCTCTAATAGTATGTCTGTTCACTTGTAGAATGTAAATTTTTTTTGTTGTTGTACTTGTGCTTATGTATTTTACAGTTAATTGTTAATATCCTCTCCTGTAGGGTGGTGATGGTACAGACCACTACCAGGTGAAAGCACGACTGGCCATGTTGGATAAGAACTTTAAACTTGCAGAGATGTATTACATGGAACAGGTAAAGAATAGTTTCTGATACCTACAACTATTAAATTCAAAAGAAAATAAATAAAACCCTTTTTAAATTAGTAAACTAGTAAAACTGTTTTAAAACTGTTCATTTAATTATTTAATTACAAATTAAATGTTAAGGTACATTAAAATTAATAATTAAAAATAATTGTAAAATAATTATTATTGATTTTAAAGTTCATTTTGGGAAAAAAAAAAGCTTTTGCCACTGCTTTTCTTTATCCATTTGCCACTTGAGTTCAAAAATGGCATTGGACAGTTCATACGTAGGAGCAACAGAGCTTAGATGGTTATATCTCGATTGCTGCAAGTAATATTGCTGTAACTCTGCAGAATGCAGTGGATGAAGTGATGGAAATGTACCAGGAGCTTCACATGTGGGATGAATGTATTGCAGTGGCAGAGGCAAAGGTAATATCTGTTTTTACATACAATAACATAAATATTCATAACCTCTAGTCCACATTTTTTCTTTTATTTAGCCTAAAACAGGGGTTCTCAACAGGTTTTGCCCAGATACATTGGAACTCAAGTAGTGATCCAACATGGAACCAGAATTGTTTGTTGAACACAAGTAAAAAAATTTCCTTAAAATCAATCATTGCAGTTTATTACTGTGTAACATTGCATTATTACCATGAACTGCAACAGTGTACAAAATTTGTCTGGATTCTGAATGTCTCTTGAATTTTGATGGTTTCATGCTGCCAGCAGTCAATAATTCACAGCACAAAACATATTATAGACAGCACAAACCATGTTTATTTTCATTTTGAGTGATTCCATTGTCTCTGTCATATTTTCATTTAACTTGTGTAGTTTTGTTTGTTTTTTTGAATATCACACAATTTATCCATGTTCCCACAATATTTTCACATCTCTTATAAAAGTTGATAAGCCTTTTTATGTTACTTAACATCTTAACTATGCAGAATTATATGGTTAGTTGCAATCTGCATTTAGCAGCTGTCTATGATCAGCTTTTTACTAATGTTAAATGTGTTTATCCCTTCAAGGGCCACCCAGAGTTGGACAATTTGAGACACAGTTACTATTCTTACCTAATGGAGACTAATCAGAATGAGAAAGCTGGTGAAGTAAAGGAGAATGAAGAAGACTTCACTGGTGCTGTTAACCTCTACCTGAAAGCAGGACTTCCTGCCAAAGCTGCTTGGTTGGCCATGAGCAGAGACGAGCTCTTATCAAGCCATGACATCATCAGCCGTATCACTGCTGCACTCATCAAAGGAGAGTTTTATGAGAGGGTGAGTTTGACCTGTGACGGAATGTGTCTTGACATAATGGCAACTGTTAAGTTCCATGCATTCATAACTTTGAAATGAGTTGCAGAACCACTCGCACAAGTCACTGCCATGGAATTGTTTTGCAGATTTGAAGGGAAATAGTTTTACCTCTAATTATTCATAATTATTCATAATAATTAAACTCAACAGGCAGGCGACCTGTTTGAAAGGACAAGAAATAATCAAAGAGCCTTGGAGTGCTACCGCAAGGGAAATGCTTTTAAGAAAGGTGAGTCTAGCTGGTAAGAACAATCAGAATAGGGTGTTACATTATAGTTGGAACAATAAGTCAGTGGTTGTAATGCAAAGCATCAGAGCTATAGATTCATTGCCTTCTTTGACCTCTGCTGATTGCATTGTGCTTCCACAGCGGTGGATCTGGCTCGCGTTGCCTTTCCTGCAGAAGTTGTAAAGCTGGAGGAAGTGTGGGGTGACTACCTAGTGCAGCAGAAACAAATGGATGCTGCTATCAACCACTACATAGAAGCTGGGTGAGTTTCTAAAGTAACAATCCTCTAGAGATCAGGGGAATTTTAGTTAGAAAATGGAAAAAAATACATTTTCAATTTCATTTTTACTTCTGTTTAATTTTAATGGTGCATATACACCACTGATCAAAAGTTTCATTTTATCCAGCAAGGATGCATTAAATTGTTCAAAAGTGACAGTAAAGACATTTATTATGTTACAAAAGATTTTACAAAATAAATGCTGTTTTTTAATGTTCTTTTTAACATTTATGTTACAGATGATTTGTATCTCGAATTCTTTTAATCTTTCTATTCATCAGAGTCCTGAAAATATATTACAGTTTCCACAAAAAAATAAGCAACAGCACAGCTGTTTTCAACATTGATAATTATAATTAAAGTTTATTGAGCACCAAATGAGCATATTAGATATTAGATTTCTGAAGGATCACACCGAAGGTGACACTGAATACTGGTTATGGCTATAGTTATGGCTGCTGAAAATTCACCTTTACCATCACAGAAATAAATTGCATTTTAAAATATATTATTTTTTTCTATAAAATATCTTAAATTGTAATATTTACCAATATTACTGCTTTTATATTTTTGATCAAATAACTGCAGCCTTTGTAAGCTTAAGAGACTTCTTTCAAAGGCATTAAAAACAGCTTACCGACCCCAAACTTTTGATGTTTAGTGTACACTTAATATTTTAATGTAATGTTTTTATTTAATTTTGTTATACTTTTCATTCCTTATAAAACTTCAAATGTTCCTTCTTCTCCAATTTGTTTCATGCCACCTTTGAAACATTTCTCAGAGATGGCCGCACCATAATTTTGCTGTGACCATTCTGGTTTATTATCGGGTTTACCTGCCCTTAAACATGGCCAGGCACCATTTTATTTGTCCTTACCCAACTCTGTAATTTCCTCCCTGTTAAAGACGTTCCACCAAGGCCATAGAGGCAGCGATCGCAGCACGCCAGTGGAAGAAAGCATTGCACATACTGGAGCAACAGGAGGACAAGACTGCCGCCAAATATTACCTGAAAATAGCTCAGCACTATGCTTCTGTACAGGAGTTTGAGGTAAAAAGCATACATTCCATCTGTCAAATATTAACAAATGGACTTAAATTCCTGAAAAATATGATCTTGTTTGAATCTGTGTTTGCTAATCTTGTTTCTCTGATCTACAGGTGGCAGAACGTCTGTTTGTTAAGGGTGATCATACTAAAGATGCTATAGATATGTACACTCAGGCTGGGCGATGGGAGCAAGCTCATAAGGTCAGTGTCACATTATGCCTCTCTGCAAAGATACTGATAAATTATACATTCATTAATAATAGCTGTATATTTTAGGGCCAGTATTTTTGTTTATGATTAAATGCTTTAGATCCCATACAGTAGATTTACATTGAAAGAGAGAACTGAGACATATATATAACTTGAGTTGGCCTCTTTTGACTTTGGCCAATAAGCAACCACCAAGAACACTCTAGCAATTGCATAGCAACATGCTAACAAATCAGTGTGCAGTAGTAATTATAAATTGGGTGGATGGAAGCTGAGAACACAACTGCAACTTGTTTTGTTTTTTTGTTTCTTTATTCAAATCATGAACAATTTACATTTAAATTATTACTAATCATCAGCAATTTACATTTGTATTATTATGTATAATTTTTCCCCCCTCTTTTGTTTTCTCTCTGTCCGTCTCCGACACAGCTTGCTGTGAAGTGCATGTCACAAGAGGATGTGTCTGCCCTCTACATCAGCAGAGCACAAGAGTTAGAGAAAGAGGGGAAGTACAAAGAAGCCGAACGGTAAAAACATACACACACTGTTGTTTTTCTAATCTGACCTTTTTGACTGGGTTAATTTATAATAATTAATAAATTCATTTATTTTTTAAAGACAAAAACTAAATGTATAACTCTGAATAGAATGTCAACATGTTTGAGATTTCAGTCACATTTCATACTGGAATTCATACTTTGCATTTCACATATTTGAAATGTACCTCTCTGTCTTTAGGCTTTTTACCACAGTAGATGAACCAGACTTGGCCATCACCATGTACAAGAAGAACACAATGTATGATGATATGATCCGTTTAGTCGCTGTTCATCACAAAGACCTGCTGCAGGAAACACACATTCACGTGGCCAAGGTTCAAGAGAACATTTGGGCCATTCTTTTATTATTCCTATTCACATTTAGTTACAAAACACATTTGACCCAAGTCTCTTTCGGTGCTGTTTTGTCTTGTTATTGCTCAGTAGATCCTTCACATGGTCTGAGTGCTGTGTGCTGTGTTTGTAACAGGAGCTAGAGGCTGAATCCAGGTTTCAGGAAGCGGAGTATCATTACCTAGAGGGTCAAGACTGGAAAGCCGCTGTGAACATGTACAGAGTCAATGATATGTGGGAGGAAGCTTATCGGGTGTGTGTGCACACTACATGGCCTTATACAGTATAATACTTGAGTTGATATAATGTAGAATGTAGAGAGTTTTAAACATTCATAGTTCCTCTGCATGTCTTTGCAACAGATAGCGAAGACCCATGGAGGAGCCAGTGCCCATAAGCAAGTGGCCTATCTGTGGGCAAAAAGTCTTGGAGGAGAGGCGGCAGTTAAACTGCTCAACAAGTTTGGCTTTTTAGAAACCGCCATTGACTTTGCAGCTGATAACTTGTAAGTCTCTGCTAAGTCAGTGTTAGGACTTAATAGTGGTTTTCAGTCCTTTAATTTCTAGTCTTTTCAGGTATAATTAGTGCATACAGATAACAATTGCACCAATCACTGCATATAGTCAAACTGGCCTATATTTACCATATAATGAAACACTCTTTGTCTTTTTTAGCACATTTGACTTTGCATTTGAGTTGGCCCGACTCGCAATGAAACCGAAGATTCCTGATATTCATCTCAAAAATGCCATGTTCCTCGAGGACCAGGTATAACTAACTGGGGAGAAATTATTCTTTTTTTCTACACCGTTAACACCTGTGAATATGAAGTAGACAAAGACAACTAAAATGGTCCACTTTCAAGGTCGGGGCTGTGAATGCAAATTATACTGGGGTCTTTTCACTTTTCGTGTCTGATTTGGTCTTTATAATGCAGAATTTAGTGTGAAGATTGAATGTTTATTGCTTTGTAAGTTATTTTTTCTGTAGGTTTATTTCAATTCATATAATAAACATAAACACAAATAATAATTATAAATAAAATAATGTTTTATATAACAATATAGTTTTATAAAATAACAAATATAAATAAATGGGCAAAAATTTGTTGGTAAAAATGTCAATCACCAGCCATTGTAGCTAGTGGGCAAAAAAATTAAATTAAATTTCCCACTCTGACTGCAGAAATGTGTAATCAAAGTAGTCTTGCAGAATGCTAAAGCTATGACATTTTGAAAATATTGTTGTATTAAAGTTTTTTATTATGACATATTACTCTACACTTACTCTAAGACATGCCCGCACAGAGTTTTTATTCTTATTATTAATACCCAGACCCAGAGTTTATTATTCTCGTTATTAATGATCACATGGTGCACAGCATGATTGTAATTTTTAACTTTTAAGGGCAAATTCAATGAGGCTGAGACTGAGTTCATCAAAGCCGGGAAGCCCAAGGAGGCTGTGCTAATGTGAGTGAGCTTTTATATCACACTGTCCTACCCCAGTACACACACAGACCATTCTATAGGGGGGATTGCATCGCTTCAGTATTTTTGTGTGCATAGATTACTGATAGATTTTCTGCACTTTCTCACATTACAAGCAATGAGTAGCTGGAAGCAGGTGGCACAGGTATTGAGAGTGTTTGATTTGTAGATCTCATGGAGGAGTGGTATGCTGGCAGCTAAAGATGATCTCATGACTCCAAGAAATCATATTGTTAATGATCTAAAAAGTTTTTATTTTTCTTTTAAATATAAATATAACAAAAATTTCTGAGGCTTACTGTATGCTTAAAAAAAGGAAGTAAGGAAAAAAAACAAAAAAAAAACATTATCCTATGGAATTTTAGCCTATTTTTCTATCCTAATATTACCTTTTATCCCATGCAAGTTAATTTATCTAGTTTTGAGGATGTTCATATATTTTTGCACTGGAAACAAGACATGACATAAAAATACTCTTAACTGAGCTTTGCAGTGATGAAAAAAGGGAATAATAATATTTTTCTACACTTTGTTCAATTATTATTTGGATTTGCGTAATGGTTTCAGTATCTTTAATCCAGCTGACTTCATGATTTATTATGTGGTCGTTGTATATACATTGTATCATAGAATTTCTAAAAATTATCTTTAAAATATGGGTGACAGTGTGTCTATTTCTATTGCAGGCATGTCCATAACAAGGACTGGAGTAATGCCCAGAGGGTGGCAGAGGCTCATGATCCGGAAAGTGTGGCAGACATTCTAGTGAGCCAGGCCAAGTTCTGTTTTGACCAGAAGGAATTCCAAAAAGCAGAGGCCTTCCTGCTCAGGGCCCAAAGGCCTGAACTAGCTATTAAATACTACAAAGTAAGAGTCCTCAATCCTTAAAACACAATCTGTACATAGACAGTAAAACAAGTCTTCTTCATTGTAGAATATCATGGATTTGATGCCCTTTAAAGATGACCATGCTGTAGTAAACATCACCAAATAGCACAGAGATCGAAACTTTATGAACATTTTTAAGAAAAATCAGGGCAGCTACTTTCTGTAGTTTAAGTTTTACAGAAACAGAACAGTTCACACAAAAATGTAATTTGCTCACACTCATGTTGTTCCGAATCCCATATGATTTAGGTCAAACATAAAAGGAGACGTTTTATAATTCATTTCAGTGACCTTTTTTTTGTTGTAAAACTCTAAAACCCTCCCAAAGTTAAATTCATTGTTCACAATCACTGGAAAAAACATAATTAATTGAATTGAATTAGCATGTTACATTATACAGTAAATGAATAAAAAAAAAAAAAAATCATGACAGGAATAGAGCCAACAGCAATAAATGTTTAAAATAACTTTAAATTACTTTAAAATGACAAAATTGATTGCACTTATATTTTCATAAATTGTTAGTTTGAATATTATAAAAAAGCTTTGTATGAGCAAATGTAAGATTTCTTATTATTAGCTAATTATGAATATTAAGTTCTGCAGGCTTTGAAGAACCATATTTTCTTATCCAGGATGCTGGCATGTGGACTGATGCAATGCGGATCTGTAAAGACTATTTGCCCAGCAAGCTGAGCGTCCTTCAAAAGGAATATGAAAGCGAGGGCAACTGGTAAAAGAACTCTCTTTTAACTCCACTACTGTTTCTTTTTTTCCTGCTTTTACTTTCATATGTCTCATTTGCTGTATCAGAAAATCCTCCCTTGTTTATTGTTCTTCAGAAACTAGGGCTCTGCAGTTGTGCAGAAAAACTAGCAGCTCTGAACTACATTTGGATCCTCTTTTCGTTGCTTTGCTTTCCTCCTTTATTAGAACATGGCAGCTTTTTATCCTAAATTAAATCCATAATGAGCAGCTCATTAATGCGCAGACACGCAGCAAATCCGTCTCCACTGATAATTTTCCTATTTTTAATGACTTGTGGGAAAACATCAAAGGCTTCTTCGCTGTCTTCCCTGGGAAGAAAAAGAGAAACATTTTGCATAGTCAGTTCAAGGCCCACTGAGCAGCAGTAATATAGGCTTCTTGTATCATTAACCTATTTTCAATCAAGAGTCTGAACTTTCTTGGCATGTTGTCCTTATAAATTGACTCTGCTGGTCACTTTATGATCCCAAAGGTGTTTTTTTTTCTTTCCAAAGGCAGAGGTGTTGGATGTGTGTCCCTTCAGCCATGTGTCTTTGTTTTGCCTGTCTATTGCGCTGAGCCTTATGTACAGCAGTATGAAGCAGAAAGTGGTTGAGTGCTTGCCTTCACAGCTGTGAAATTCAGTTCACTTTTTGCAGTTTTTAAGCCATAATTTCTGAACACTGAAGCACACAAAACATGGTACTGGATTTTTTAAAGCTGGAGGTTTTTCATGTAGCTTTCACGGTCATTAACCACCAAGCCATCTCAGGATTTGAAGTACAGAAGTCTGAAGACCTTTAATAAATAAGGGTTTCAAGTCTTTATTCAAAACTCTCACAGTAAAATGAACTGCAAACTATTTAGCCAGCACTAATAAAATGATAGTACTTACTGTAAAAGCAGTGAGTGTTTTTCTTCCCATGAGTACTACGACATCACTAGTGACGGAAGGAAAGTAGGAAACGGTAAACATGTCTTACAAGTCTATGAGAAATAAACATACTGTATATGTGTGTGTTTACAGGGGTGTGGAAGGTATGGTTGAGCAAGCTCAGGAGTGGGAACAGACAGGCGAGTATGCCAGAGCCGTCGACTGCTATCTGAAAGTGAAGGACTCATCTAACATGGACTTGCTGATGAAGTGTTGGATGAAGGTAAAGTCCAGACTCAGAGCCACCTGGCTGCAGTCACCATGTCCTCTAACTTCATAAAGAGCACTATTTCCTAGTAAATTCTTTTTATTACATTTTCAATGTGTTTAAATTCATTATTTTAGCAGTGTCAGCAAGTATGATTTAAGCTCTATAAACTTTCACGTGCAAAATCCAGTCAATTTTAATAGAAATTCCATGCAATTGATTGCACTTATATTTTCATAAATTGTTAGTTTGAATATTATAAAAAAGCTTTGTATGAGCAAATGTAAGATTTCTTATTATTAGCTAATTATGAATATTAAGTTCTGCAGGCTTTGAAGAACCATATTTTCTTATCCAGGATGCTGGCATGTGGACTGATGCAATGCGGATCTGTAAAGACTATTTGCCCAGCAAGCTGAGCGTCCTTCAAAAGGAATATGAAAGCGAGGGCAACTGGTAAAAGAACTCTCTTTTAACTCCACTACTGTTTCTTTTTTTCCTGCTTTTACTTTCATATGTCTCATTTGCTGTATCAGAAAATCCTCCCTTGTTTATTGTTCTTCAGAAACTAGGGCTCTGCAGTTGTGCAGAAAAACTAGCAGCTCTGAACTACATTTGGATCCTCTTTTCGTTGCTTTGCTTTCCTCCTTTATTAGAACATGGCAGCTTTTTATCCTAAATTAAATCCATAATGAGCAGCTCATTAATGCGCAGACACGCAGCAAATCCGTCTCCACTGATAATTTTCCTATTTTTAATGACTTGTGGGAAAACATCAAAGGCTTCTTCGCTGTCTTCCCTGGGAAGAAAAAGAGAAACATTTTGCATAGTCAGTTCAAGGCCCACTGAGCAGCAGTAATATAGGCTTCTTGTATCATTAACCTATTTTCAATCAAGAGTCTGAACTTTCTTGGCATGTTGTCCTTATAAATTGACTCTGCTGGTCACTTTATGATCCCAAAGGTGTTTTTTTTTCTTTCCAAAGGCAGAGGTGTTGGATGTGTGTCCCTTCAGCCATGTGTCTTTGTTTTGCCTGTCTATTGCGCTGAGCCTTATGTACAGCAGTATGAAGCAGAAAGTGGTTGAGTGCTTGCCTTCACAGCTGTGAAATTCAGTTCACTTTTTGCAGTTTTTAAGCCATAATTTCTGAACACTGAAGCACACAAAACATGGTACTGGATTTTTTAAAGCTGGAGGTTTTTCATGTAGCTTTCACGGTCATTAACCACCAAGCCATCTCAGGATTTGAAGTACAGAAGTCTGAAGACCTTTAATAAATAAGGGTTTCAAGTCTTTATTCAAAACTCTCACAGTAAAATGAACTGCAAACTATTTAGCCAGCACTAATAAAATGATAGTACTTACTGTAAAAGCAGTGAGTGTTTTTCTTCCCATGAGTACTACGACATCACTAGTGACGGAAGGAAAGTAGGAAACGGTAAACATGTCTTACAAGTCTATGAGAAATAAACATACTGTATATGTGTGTGTTTACAGGGGTGTGGAAGGTATGGTTGAGCAAGCTCAGGAGTGGGAACAGACAGGCGAGTATGCCAGAGCCGTCGACTGCTATCTGAAAGTGAAGGACTCATCTAACATGGACTTGCTGATGAAGTGTTGGATGAAGGTAAAGTCCAGACTCAGAGCCACCTGGCTGCAGTCACCATGTCCTCTAACTTCATAAAGAGCACTATTTCCTAGTAAATTCTTTTTATTACATTTTCAATGTGTTTAAATTCATTATTTTAGCAGTGTCAGCAAGTATGATTTAAGCTCTATAAACTTTCACGTGCAAAATCCAGTCAATTTTAATAGAAATTCCATGCAACCGGGA